CCACCATCATCGTCATCACCACCATCAGCATTCTCGCCCTCTGCCCCGTCGTCTTACCCTGTCTCGTCCTCCTCTCCCTTCCCCATCCTCATCCTCCTCGAGCGCAGCAGGGAGAAGTCGTGAGGGAATGGGCTTCTAAGCGGATCTACGTGGCTCTACACGGCTCGCTCTAGAAGGCTCAAGGGATCCACCCACCAGTCCTTCCTCCGCCCCTCCTCCTCCTTTCCTCCTCCTCCTCCTCCTCCTCCTCCTCCTCCCTCCTCCGCCTCCTCCTCCTCCTCCTCTCTCCTCCTCCTCCTCCTCCTCCTCCTCCTCCTCCTCCTCCTCCTCCTCCTCCTCCTCCTCCTCTCCTCCTCCCTCCCTCCTCCCCCTCCTCCTCCTCCTCCTCCTCCTCCTCCTCGTCCTCCTGCTCATGCTCTTCCTGCAAATGCCAGGGAAACCAAAACAATCAAAACACACGCTCACACCCACTGTTCAGCCCGAGCGCCGATACGGCAGCGCGGTGACCAGGTAGCGGACCACGACCACCAGGCGAATCCGGCCTCCTCCCTTACGCACCCAGCAGGACGGGCCGAGCGTTTGGCCTGAGAGCTCCTCACGACTTATGACCCTGAAGCACGACGTTCGCAACAATTGAATGGGTGGATGGCAGGTCGTTTTCAAATTGGAGCTCTCGCCTTGGCGCCGCGTACATTCGTTCCGAAATGTTTCAACATATACAAGGATGCAGGGGGGCTCGTTTTGAAAATGGAACTATAATTTTAGCGCCGAGCACGCTCGTCCTAAACTTCTGCACCATCTCAAAAAACGAGCAGCAATTACATGGGTGAAGGGCGGTTCCTTTTCACGAACGGGGTCTGCGTTGTGGCGCCGCGCGCGCTCGTCTTCAAAACTCGCAGCAGCTTCAGGGGTGGAGAAGAGGCCGTGCTCAAAGTGCAGCTCTCGCATTTGCGCCGCGCACATTCGTCTTAATCGTTTGGAACAAAATTACAAGGATCGAGGGGGATCATGTTCAAGATGGCGCTCTCGCCTTAGCCCCACGCACGTTCGCTCTGAACGCCTGCACCCGTGAGATGGATGAAAGACGCTGCCTTTTCAGCATCGGGCTATCGCTTGAAACTTCTCTCAAATCGAAAAGAAGAACCTGCAACACATGTGATTAACACATGCTCGGATTGAGCGGGGTCCTCTCCCTAATGGGGCTATCGCTTGAGACTTCCTCGGCGTTCATGACCAATGGTGTAAACTGGTAGAACTGCCACACGGACGGGGGGCGGCCCTTTGCTCAAAAAGGGAATCTCGCTCGACACCTTGCTGAGCTGCGTGATCATACCCTTTCGCATTCCTGACTGCGCGCTAGAAGGATGCAAGGCCGTTCCTTCTCGAAACGGCGCTCTTGCCTGAACGGCAGACCCAGGACTGGTTGTTCGAGGGGGTGCTTCTTGTCGTGAAAATGTAAGGTTGTAGCGACTTATGAAAAGGGAAGTTCCCCCTTCTGGCTCAAGCCATCTCCCAGGGGGGGCCTCCTCCCCCGGGGTCAGGGCTCGAGGGCGGCCTGGGCGGCGAGGACGGGCGGCGCGCCGCCGCCGCCGCCGTTCGGCATGGCTGCCGATGTAGTGACCCCCGCGGCGAAGCGGCGGCGGCAGCGGCGCGTTGCTGCCGCCCGCGCCGCGGGCCCTGTTGCCGCTGCCGCCACTGCCGCCGCCGCGTGCGGCTTGCCGCTGCTGGCCGCACGGGCGGCCCCGCCCGCGCCGCGGGCGCCGCCCCTCCCCCTTGCCTCCCGCCGCCTCCAGCCGGCGGCGCTGGCGCTGTTGGCGCTGTGCGTGCCGCCGACGCGGCCCGCGCCGGGCTCGGACCTGCTACTGCTGCCGCGACCTGGCCTCCCGCGAACGGTCAGCGCTCGGCGGCGGTCGCGCGCCCGGCCTCGGCGGACGCCGAGGCCGTGGCGGAGGCCGCGCGCCTGGCGGAGCACGAGCGAGTGGCCGCCGTGGTGACCGAGAGTACGGCCCTGCTGGCGGCCGAGCGCGCGCGGCCGCTCCGGAGGCCGAGCGCGTGGCCAAGCCATGCGACTTGGCGGATTCGGTGGACGAGGTGCGGGCGGGCCGACGTCGCTGGCCACGAGCTGGACGTGGGCACGGCCAAGGACGACGAGACGGCGCGACTTCGGCAGCAGGTCTCTGAGCTGCAGGCGGACCGCCCGAGGCTTTAGAGGTCGAAGTGGAGGAGGTCGTCGAGGAGTAGGTGGAGGAGGACTGCTTCGTCGACGACGGCGTGGAAGGGGTCGAGCCCAACGGGTGCATCTCCGCACCCACTGGGCGCATGGGGCCCGGGCCCATTCCGCCGCCAACCCTGTTGGAACCTAGCGTGGCCGTCCCAGGTCATGCTGGTGATCCACAGGCTACGGTGTACACTAATCCAACTACCTGTGCGACGGTTAGTCGCGTCCCTGGCTCGACCTCTCTGTACCTGGATCTCGCGGAAGAAGGAGGACGCGGGCCAACGGCGCCAGGGGGGCCGAAGGCGACATCGGCAACGATGGCCCAGCCGAGGGCGGCAGGAGGCCTCGCGCGGGCCCAACCGACGAGCCTCGCGGCGCTTCCGCACCCAGAGGGCCTGTGAGACCCATCACCTCTCCGCCGCCAGCCGTGCGGGACCCTAGCGTAGCCTTTCCAGGTCATGCTGGGGAAACTCAAGCACCGGCGTGCACGGATCCACCTGTCTGTGCGACGGTTAATCGCGATCCTGGTGCGATGAATGTCGAGGACACAGGGCATGCCCAGGGTTGGACCCGCAGAAATAATGCCCCTGAGGCACACGGAAGATCCCAAAAGAGTCCAGAGTGATGAGCCTGTCGGCGCCTCCGCCCCCTCAGTGCCCGCGATGCCCATGTCCACCCTGCCACCGCTACCTCTGGGACCCAGCGTGGCCATCGCCATAGCTGGATTCGCCTCGGCATCCTAGCCCAGGCTGCCCAACTGTTCCTGTAAGCAGACGGCAATGTCCCTGAGCCCGGCTGCCCTGGTCAACCACCTGTCTGTGCACCGGTTAGGTGCGTCTCATTCAGCGCGCCACTCACCTTGGTGATGCGCTTGAGATCGATCCGTGGGCGCGGCATCCACCCCAGGTGCCGCGCCTCGCGCCCGCTGAGGCTCCTGCCCAGCTCTTGACCAACCTGTCTGTACACTGTACACTGGTTAGGTGCTCCTGGTGCCCTGGGAGGCGCGCGCCATCCACCCCAGGTGGTGCGCCCCTCGCCCCGCCACGGGCGCGCTCGCCTCACGCCTTCGCTGCCTGTGGCTCCGTCTGGTGCACACGCCGCCACACAGACCGACAGTGCCCGACAGGCCCGCCCCTGTGCCAACGGCCGGTGGCGCCCGCTTCCGCGTCGCCCACCCGTTTTGCCTCCCGGCTGCCTTTCGCCAGGAGCCCTCACCTGGCCCCCGCTTCGGCTGGGCGCCGCCCCGCCCACGGCTGCGATGCGTGCACCTGCCCTGGGCCCGGCCTCGCTGGCTCCCGCCCCCCCGCCCCGCCCGCCCGCGGCGTCTTACGTGGCTCCCACGCGCCGCTCCTGCGGTCGCCCGGGTCGTGTGGCTCCCTTCCGGCCGTGCTGGCTACGCCCGCCCTCCTCGCGTCTATCTTCCTTGTGGCTCCCAGCCTCCCCTGCGCTGCGAACGCGCACCGCCTTCGTTAACGTTGCGTCGCATGCCCGTCGAGCCACCCTGGCCCCCGGTCCGCCACTGCAGCACACCAGCGCAGCCTCCCCAGAAGCTGCACTGGCTCCCACTCTGGTGAACGGGACTGCCGTAGTCCGCGCAGCTATGGCCTTCCTTCTCCCGTCTTGCTGGGCCTCGTTCCGCAGTGCAGCTGCTGGACCCACCCCTGGGTGCGCTCGTAATGCCGCCCCGTGCCCGCTGCCAGGGGCTGCTACACCGGCTCGGCCGCCCCGCGCGCCCCGCTGCGGCGTCGCCGCGTGAGAGCGCTTCCCCCCCGAATTGCCCCCCATCCGCGACCGTTCCTCTTCTTTTCCGCTTCTGTTGCATGCGGGACAATTCGCAATACCGTTGCCAAGTTTGTTTGGACGCGCGTGCGGACTGCCTCTGCCGCGCTGCGACACAACAAAATGTATTGCAGCATCGTTGATACATCCTGGGTTTACTCCGGTCCTCATCCCCATTCTCATCGTGACCAGCATTACCATCATAATCTTCGTCTCCTCCCCGCCTTCCCTGTCCTAATCCTCCCGCTTCCCTCCGCCACCACCCCTGATCCGTGTCCTCGTCCTCCCCACTCCTCCTTCTCCTCCTCCTCCCTCTCCTCCTCCTCATACACCTCCTCCTCCTCCTCCTCCTCCTCCTCCTCCTCCTCCTCCTCCTCCTCCTCCTCATCCTCATCCTCTTCCTCCCTCCTCCATCCTCATCATGATGACCATCTCCTCAACCTCTCTCCCCCCTCCTCCTCCTCCTCCTCCTCCTCCTCCTCCTTCTTCACCAACCACCACCACACCATCATCATCACCATCACCATCACCATCACCATCACCATCACCATCACCATCACCACCATCATCATCATCATCATCATCATCATCATCATCATCATCATCATCATCATCATCATCATCATCATCATCATCATCATCATCATCATCATCATCATCATCATCATCATCATCATCATCATCATCATCATCATCATCATCATCATCATCATCATCATCATCATTCATCATCATCATCATCATCATCATCATCATCATCATCATCATCATCATCATCATCATCATCATCATCATCATCATCATCATCATCATCATCATCATCATCATCTTCCTTCTCCCTCTCCCTCCCCCTCCTCCCCCTCCCCCTCCCCCTCCTCCCACCCCCTTTCCTCCTCACTCCTCCTCTAATTATCGCCTCTCCTCCTGGCAGCGCCCCCAAACGGCCCGCCTATGCGGACAATCGCCTGACCCTCCTCCACTCCAGCCCTCTGCGCGGCACCACCGGGGAACACCCTCGTGACAACCTCAGCGCGTCTCGGAGGGCGGGGAAAAAATACTGGACCTCTGACGATTCGAAGAAGTGGGGCCAAGGTTTCTCGCGGCTTTCGGCGAGCAGGGGCCGCTTCTGGGCCCCACGGCCGCCACAAAACTCGTCGGGATGCAACATCGGCCCGTGGGGGGGGGAGAGTCGAGAGACACCCGGGCATGCGTCTCCAACACGAACACGGCGCGACCCTCAATGAGGGGAAAGCTCCCTATTGCATGAGCTGGCATTGCTTGGCATTGCCTGGCATTGCTTGGCATTGCTTGGCATTGCTTGGCATTGCTTGGAATTGCTTGGCATTGCTTGGAATTGCTTGGAACGGCCACAATAAAAATACGAGGCACCGGGGACGGGAAACCCGGGGAACCCGTGGAACCCGAGGAACCCGGGGAACCAAAGAAACCCGGGGAACCCGAGGAACCCGGGGAACCCGGGGAGCCCGAGGAACATGGGGAACCCGAGAAACCTCTTGGGCAACGGGCAACGTAAGAATAGGAGGCACCGAGGGCGGGGAACCCAAGGAACCCGAACGGGCAAAGTAGGCCCCCGAGGAACCAGCCTTTCAACCATGTAAAAACCCCTTAGGCAAGCCTAATTGGGGGAAAAACAAAATGAAAAAACGAGTCGTCGGAGGGAGGAGGACGAGGATCGAAGGGAGGAGCAGACAAGAAAAGGAAGAGGAGGGCGCGGAGCACGGGGGCAGCAGGAGCGGGAGGAGGAGGAGGAGGATGAGGAGGAGGAGGAGGAGGAGGACAAGGAGGAGGAGGAGGAGGACAAGGAGGAGGAGGAAGAATAAGAAGAAGAGAGAGAGAGAGAGAGAGAGAAAAAGAAAGAGAGAGGAGGACAAAGGAGGAGGGAGAGGAGAAGGAGGAGGAGAGGAGAAGGAAGGATGGAGACCACAGTGCTCTGTCCAAAACGAAAAGCAGCCAAGCGAGGGTTGGAAAAAAATCAACCCGAAGCGTCCAAAAACGTCAATCATCTCCCTTCCTCATCCTGATCCTCCTCACACTCCCTCTGCTCGGCGGCAGGAACACACCGGGAGAAGGAGGAGGAGAAGGAGGAGGAGGCGGAGAAGGAAGATGAGAAGGAGGAGGAGGAGGAGGCTGAGGAGGAGGAGGAGGAGGAGGAGGAGGGGGAAGGAAAGGGATGAGGAGGAGCAGGACAAGGAGGAGGAGGAGGAAGAGGAGGAGGAGGAGGAGGAGCGGGGAGGCGGGAGAGGAGAAGAAAGGGAGGGGCCGAGGGAAGGAAGGAGGTAGGGAGGGAGCGGGGAGGGGAGAGGAAGAGAGCGTCCCTCCTGAAGGAAGAGGAGGACGAGGAGAGGGAAAGTAATTAGAAGGACGAGGAGGAGGAGTCAGGTATGACGGTAGGGGATGAGGGAGAGGGGAGAGGGAGGGGAGGGGGAGAGAAGAGGGAGGAGAGGGTGCTGAGTCTGCTCACTGCAGGAGGCAGGGCCCCGTCTCCACGGAAAAGAGTAAAGCCTAAACCTGGATAGGCGCATCAAACAAAACTGCCTCATGCCTTCGAAGACCCTGGGCAAATTCCAAGACCGAGGAAGGAGAAACAAAACCGTGCAGTTCGGCAGGCACACTAGTGCGGTAGCCCGACTGAGACAGCACCCCCCCTTCCAGGTGGAAAAAAAACAGAAGGACGATGGGGCTGCGAAGCGGATGAGGGGTGCGCCGAAATGGGCCAGCGGCATGCGTTCACCGCCTCTGGGGCATTCGGTGGAGCTCCCTTTGGGGTCACGCGCCAGGGCTGTACCGAAACGGCCTGCACGGCGGTCGGCGGAGCCCCCATGAGGCCACGAAACGTGTGGGGGGGGGGAGGCGACATGGGCGAGGCGGCGCGAACCCTGCCAATGTGGCCTTCGGTGCAGATCCCCATGGGACCACGAAGCCTGTGAGGGGTGTGCCGAATTGGGCGGGACGGCATGCGAACTTTGCCATGAGGCCACGAAACGCGCAAAGAGTATGCCGAAATCGGCGGGGCGGCATGCAAACCCTGCCACTGGGGCCTTCGATGGGAGCTCCTTATGGGCCAAGAATCGTGTGAGGGGTGTGCCGAACTGGGTGGGGCGTCATGCGAGCTCTGCCACTGGGGCCTTCGGTGCAGCTCCCTAAGGGACCTCGACACGTGTGAGGGGGATGCCGACAAGGGCGTGGCGGACCGTGCGATCTGTCCCACTGGGACCCTCGGTGGAGCTCCTATGCGGCCACGAAACGCGTGAGGGGGCCATGAACGAAAAGAAAAGGAGGAGGAGGAAGAAGAAGGGCCGGCGCTGCGGATTCAACACGAGAACCCAACTCAACACAGGATGATTGAGGCGAATCGTCCGTCGTGATCTCTGCCACGGCGCGAGGGAGGCTGGTTGGACCGAGGCCGCTGCCGGTGGCGCAGACCACTCGATCTCCATGCCCAGGGGGCCATCGCCGAACTCGATCTCTCCGCCAGGGTGGGCCTGTGCGGCGGCGGTAGCGTCAGACGGCGGCTCGACAGCCCCGGACGACGCCCAGGCGCCCAGCCGCGAGGGCAGTCAGCGGCAGCGGCGGCGGCGGCGGCAACGGCGGCGGCGGCAGCGGCGGTGACGTCGACGTCGACGTCGACGTCGACGTCGACGTCGACGTCGACGACGACGACGACGACGACGACGACGACGACGACGACGACGACGACGACGACGACGACGGCGACGACGACGACGACGACGACGACGACGACGACAACGACAATGGTGAGGCTGTTCCCTTCCGATCTCGAGGGGCTTGTCCCCAACTCTGGGGGGCTGGGATGATGGGGCTGAGATACCATGGCCGGGTGGGGAGTGGGGACAGGTCAAACGATACTGAATGCGCCCAGGCTTTCGAGCAACATGTGGGCTTCGCGAGAGGTGCCCTGGAGGCCATCTGGCCTCCCTGGACAGGCTGTGGCCGCCATGGGCTGAGCCACTTCTAGCAACACCCGACGACAAGGCGGGCCTGCCAGGCTTAGAGCGTGAGCCAACTCACGACCCGTTCGAGCGCACCGGATGCCGCGGCTGCCAGGCCCCAGATGTCCGCGAGGCAGTCCCTGGTATCCCGCCTCGCGCGCGCCCTCGATCAATAGCGACGGAACGATCTCGCATGCCGCGACCGCCAGGCCACAAGTGTCCAGGGGCTTCCCTTGTATCCCGCCTCGCGTCGACGTTAAACGACAGAACTGACCACAAAAGACAGCATAAACATATACATGTATCCAATTCTATATGTACGCATGGCATACATTAAGGACAGAGGCATCAATGCACACCCAGATGACAGAAGGAACGAAAATACATCTGCCACCGTGCCTTGTGCACGGTGGGCTGTGTCAGAATGCTCCTCTGCCGTCTGGTAAGGTGACTTTCGTATTTTCTAGGGACGACCCCTAAGGTCGCACGTTCCCTTCTGAAATCGTCCCCCTTCTCTGAGCAACCTTTATACATACAAAACAAACACACAAAAAACACAAAGATAAACCAAAAAACAAACAAAAACACAAACAAAAACAACACAAACGGCGCCGCAGAGGAACCTCAGGCGCGGTCGGCAGATGAACTGCCAATCGCGGATAAACTTAGTCGAACGCGCCGCGATGAAAGGATCCAGTCACGGCCGTGCAGCAGGTGTTGGTGGTGAAAAGATGAGGCACTGCAAAGCCAAAGTGCAGCGGCCAAGCATCCCGCGGAACGTAGCTCGACGCCAGGTGTTAAAGCACGGACAACCGTTCGGTGCGAATTAGCCAATAAAGTGCAACGGTCAAGCATCCTGCGGAGCGTAGCTCGACGCCAGAAGCTGAAGCGCTACAGCAGTCTGGTGCTAGTAGCCAGCGGAAGAGGCGTACTGCAAGGCTGCCAGACCAGCCAGCGAACGGCGGCGCAAGACAGGCACAAGCGAGACAAGCGCCGCCGGCAAGCGAGCAACGAACACGGCAGAACGCCGTGCAAGCGCAAGTAGCGCGAAGACAGCGCGCGTACGGGCCGAAAGGCCAATCAAAGAAACCAAGCTGACCGCGGGCGACCGCGACAGCCAACACACGGTGGCGTGTATGTGTGGTGGATAGCACAAGCAAATCCATGGGTGGTGACGGCGCGTGCGTGGCCAACGTGCGAAGCGGGCGCTACCGTTGAAGGGCAAACCCACCGCAGTTAGCGCTGCATCAACCATGAATGGGGGCCGAAACAACAAGCAAGCACCTGGACAATGTAATTGGAGAGAACAAGAAGGCGAACCCGCAACCGGGCTGCGCCAACCGCACACACACACACACACACACACACAACAAAAAAACAGGACGCCCTGGTCGAGGGGGGTCAAAACATCAACAACTGGTATTTTGATTCTGTGTGAGAAAAAACGCACAAAAACACAACAAGCAACAGCCCAAACAGCACACACATAATTCTCCAAAACAACCAGAACACGCCCAAAGACAGCCAAGCTCGCCCCAACTCGGTCAAAAGGCCTCCGAGACGGTCCCAAGACTGCCCAAGAAGACCTCAGACGCTACAAGAGGGTCGCAAGATGGACCAAGATGGCCTCAAGGCGACCCAAGAGGGCCCCAAAACGGCCCAAGAGGGTTCAAGAGGACGTCCAAGAGGCCCTAGAGAGAAAAAAACATGTTGTTTGTTTTAGGGCTGCGAGGACTATTAGCATACTAGCCCGATCTAACTTCCGAAAACCCGAGACGGCCCGAAGGTGCCCAAGAGGGCCGAAAGACAATCCAACAGAATGCGAAGAAGGCCCCATGAAGGGGGCCCCAGGACGGTCCAAGGCCCAAGAGGCCCCAAAGAAGGCCCACAAGAGGGGGGTAAATAGATGACAGCCTTCCCCTACAGAATTGTCTCTAAATGAAGCCCCAAAGAAACCCCCAGAGGCCCACGAGACGCCCCCCGAGAGGCCCAAGAGACCCCCAAGAGGCCTCCCAGAGGTCCCCCTACAGACCACCAAAGGCACCCCAAACGAACCCCAACGGCTCCCGATAGGCCCTCAAGAGGCCCCTGAGAAGCTCCAATTTGAGCATCTACCTAAAACTCATTCACGATGCGCTGCTGCGCTGGCGCGCAGTGGCAGGGTTTGCCGCAGACAGCCGCATACATCACGGACATCAAGAGCAGAAATGCAGAACACGAATACAGAATATCCACCAGTCCCCTTGGGGGTGTAATCTTGCGAAGTGTGTTGTTGGATTGCCATGTCGTCTTTGTGCTGTGTTTCATTGGCGCCTCTTATCTCTCAAGTCCTGCCTCGTTCCTACTGTCTACCAGAGATGCCCGATCGTTCAAACCAAAAAAAAAACTGAGGGGGATCCCTCAGCCTCTGGGCCGATCTAGAGAGGACCACAATTCCGATCGGAACGCCACCACACGGTCAGGTGGGCCTAAAAGGCCCACAGGCGTCCCACCACATGAGGAAAACGTGCATGTTTAGTGTGTTCGCTTTTTCTGTCTTCACAGCCTTTACATAGGTCTTCCATACCCACAAAACCTCCTGATGATGGCCAGCAAGGCTCGCCAGATGGTCCCAAGATGGCCCAACAAGGCCCCAAGGCGGCTCCAGAGGCGCCCAAAACAGCCTAAGAAGGCCCCAAGAGAGCCCCAAAAAGGGAAACTCGAACTGACATGTCAAGCCCTGAGCCCCAAGAAGGCCCCCTCAACCGCCAGCAGGTCCCCAAGAAAGCCCCAACAGAGCCCAAGAAGCCCCCAAGAGGCCAAATGAGGCCCCCAAACGACCCAAAATTGACGCCAGAATGACCATCAAGGCTGGTTTTTATCGAGTACGGCGTGGCATTTCCCAAGTGGACACACGGCGCCAACACGCGTCCATGATGACGCCCGCCGGAAAGGTGGCACCCGGGGCTCCCAAGAAGTCGGCGTTGCGGCGTAAGCCGATGAATCGCACGAAAACCCGAGGAAAATGAATCTTATCTCCGAGGGGCGTCTTACGAATCCTCTCGGGGTCCCCTTGGGCCGTCTTGACAGCCCGTTGGGTCGTCGGCCGGCCTTCGTAGGCCCATCTTAGGCCATCGTTGGCGCGACTTGGCCGTATTGGAAAGCTCGTCGGTCCCTCCTGGGGCCTTCGAGGCCATCTGGGACTCTCTTGGGGCAATTTGTGGTCGGCATGAGCTCATCTGGAACGATTGGGACCTAGCTTCCCCAGCCAGGACACGGGCTGTGTAAAAGAATGTTTTAATGAATAGGGGACCCTTGGCGGCAGTACAACTACATCTATATTCAGACACGTATACACAAATATGTGTATATATATATGATTTGTTATGTATATGTGTGTACACACACGTGCGTAGGTACATGTATAAGTATAGTATAGGTATAAGCCTAGGTATAAGTATAGGTATAGGTATAGGTATAGGTATAGGTATAGGTATAGGTATAGATACGGGTACAGGTACGGGTACAGGTACAGGTACAGGTACAGGTACAGGTACAGGTACAGGTACAGGTACAGGTACAGGTATAGGTACAGGTACAGGTACAGGTACAGGTACAGGTACAGGTACAGGTACAGGTACAGGTACAGGTACAGGTACAGGCACAGGCACAGGCACAGGTACAGGCACAGGCACAGGCACAGGCACAGGCACAGGCACAGGTACAGGTACAGGTACAGGTACAGGTACAGGTACAGGTACAGGAACAGGTACAGGTACAGGTACAGGTACAGGCACAGGCACAGGCACAGGCACAGGTACAGGTACAGGTACAGGTACAGGTACAGGTACAGGTACAGGTATAGGTATAGGTATTAGGTATTAGGTTTAGGTATAGGTATAGGTATAGGTATAGGTATAGGTATAGGTATAGGTATAGGTATAGGTATAGGTATAGGTATAGGTATAGGTATAGGTATAGGTATAGGTACCGGTATAGTTATAGGTATAGGTATAGGTATAGGTAAAGGTACAGGTACAGGTACAGGTATAGGTAAAGGTATAGGTATAGGTAGAGGTACAGGTACAGGTATAGGTATAGGTACAGGTACAGGTACAGGTACAGGAACAGGTACAGGTACAGGTACAGGTACAGGCACAGGTACAGGTATAGGTATAGGTATAGGTATAGGTATAGGTATAAGTATTAGGTATAGGTGTAGGTATAGGTATAGGTACAGGTATAGGTCCCGGTATAGGTATAGGTATAGGTATAGGTATAGGTATAGGTATAGGTATAGGTATAGGCATAGGTATAGGTATAGGTATTAGGTATTAGGTATTAGGTATTAGGTATTAGGTATAGGTATAGGTATAGGTATAGGTATAGGTATAGGTATAGGTATAGGTATAGGTATAGGTATAGGTACAGGTATAGGTATAGGTATAGGTATAGGTATAGGTATAGGTATAGGTATAGATATAGGTATAGGTATAGGTATAGGTATAGGTATAGGTATAGGTATAGGTATAGGTATAGGTATATAGGTATAG